CTGAGTCGGGCACACCGGGGTCAGAGCAGCTGGGGTGCTGCTGGGTTGGTCCAGTAGCGGCGTCCTCCACGGCGAGAAAAGCCGCTCCGCATCTCCCTGGTCTGCTGGAGGGGGGGTGCTAGCTCCGTGTCTCCCTTCTCTGCTGGGGGGAAGCAGCTAGTGCGCACCGCTGGAGGCAGCAACAGTGGGGGAGGCACCCCACACTAGCTGCGTCCCCTCCCCCATTTGTAACTAGGGATCCGACGTAAGTTGGATTGATGTAACCCGGGGACTGCCTGTAATATGATAGAGGATGTATGATCCTTATATTGGTTATGCTTTAGTGTAGACTGAAGTGATGTCCTTGATACTTCTTGGTCAACAGTTGGTTCAAGTGCTGGGTCTGCTACTTAAGCAGCTGCAGCATGGATGTCTACACTTTTCTGCCCTTTCTGAACTCCTCTAGCAGTGGTTCATGCTGGTCCCTTGCATTTCTCTTGGGAGTCATAGAATAAAAGGTTGGCAGAGACCTCAGGAGGTCATTGAGTCCAATCCCCTGCTAAAAGCAGGACCAACCCCAACTAAATCATTCCTCAAAAATCCTTAGAGTACATGTCTTTTTTTATACTTCCATTTGGCCCTACTAGTGCTCAGCAAGTTTTAGTGGGGCTATCCTCAGGATTCTTTCTGTTAAGATCGCTGATAAATGGATATGCTGTTGAGTAATGACAGATGATTTCTTATGTACTGGAGGGAAAGATACATAGGTGGATGCCTCCTGTCTCTTACATCTTCCAAGTCAATGTAAACATATAGGCATGCAATCATGAGGAGTTTGGGCTAGGGATGTTAAATATTGGTTAATTGAATAGTCGATTAACCTTATGAATTCTTAATTCTTAATTGGATACTTGACTATTCTATAGTCTTGGGTCTACAGCCAGTGCACTCTAGCCCTATTCCAGAGGAGCCCCCCCTTCCACTGTGCGCTGCTGCTTCTGTAACTGCAATGATTTTTAGTGGTTATATGGTTACATTTTTAACCACAGTTTTACCTTCCTACCTCCTCATCTGTTTAGCCATTATTGGTTAGATTTGTTATCATGCTCCAAATATGAAGAAGGATATGAAAAAGCCTTAAATGCACAAAGACACACAAGCTAAGGACTTGGTTACATATTTTGCTTGCCACAAGTTTGGGTGTAAATGTACCTCACATTAGCCTGCTGCCAAATGTGTGTCAGCATTGACCATACTCCCTATCTACAAAAGTTTCCTAGTGTGCTTTTTGATCTACTCTTGAAATGAGAGTAGAAGAAGGAGCTCTACAGAACTGCCGGTGCTCAGCAGTAGGCACCAAACAGACCTTTGGGGTCTGTGCAGCAAAGAGAAACCTGTGGCTGGCTATGCCAGCTGACTTAGGCGGTGTTGCTGTTTCCTTGCTTTGTAGATTTCAGAGCTCAGACAGCAGCTTTTTGTTCTGGGACCTTCCCAGTCTGCTGGGTCCTAGAGCCTAGCCAGAATCCAGAGCCTGGAAGTCTATGCAGCAGTGAAACTGCCTTAGAGCCCAAGCCCTGTGAGCCCAAGGCAGCTGGCATGAGCCAGCTGTGAGTTTTTCTTTGCTGTGTAGACATATCTTTAGTAGGGATGTCAACGTGTAGTCGAGTATATGATTAACCTATAAGCCGAGGCTTATTGGTTAGTCTAGTTGACCACATGCATTTCTCCTCCCCTTTGCAGCCACTGTATCTGAGAGGCAGCTGGTCTGTGCAGGGAGCTGGGTTTTAAACTGGCTTCCCTCATGGACCAGCTCCCACCTGGCACCCTGCACTGCTGCCCCTGATAGAGAGGCAGTAGCACCAAGGGTGGCAAGCTGGAGCCAATACGTGTCAGGAGCCAGCTTTCACGCCAGTTCCCTGAGTGTGCCAGCTGTGCGGATCCACCTGCTCTCCCCTTTGCTGCCTCCTACAGATGCAGCAAAGGGGGGGCAGGCTGGAGCTGGTGTGGGGGGAGCTGGTTTAAAAGCTTTTTTCCCCCAAGCACCTGCTCCATTGTGCCACCTGCCCCCCCCCCCCCCAC